GTTTGCACTGTTTGTGCAAGAATTATATATATATATAAAATTTTTCCCAACAGAAATCAGATTGATGCCTCCGGGAAGCCCATAAATATAAATGAATAACTCCCAATGTACTGTTTTATCTGTAGATGCACTTATTCTGAAACACACTGCCTCTGAACATGGAGGGTCTATTGTGGGCTGCCAGACTACTAATCAGGCGGTGGAGCATTGTAGATGGAGTGTAGGATCTGGAATCTGGAGATTTTCAGTCCCAGTTTTCAGTGAGTCACAAATTTCACCGTGGAACCGTGGGCCCCTCACTGCCTCGACTGGCCAGCCTCCATGGGTTGTTGTATAGATAAAATCCAAAGGAGCAGAGCCATGGACGCCATCTTGATGGAGCCCCATTGGAGGAAAGATGAGATAGATATGTATTAAATCAACACATGTTACTTCAGTTGTATTCACTACTAATTACCTGTTTTCCCTGATGATCCAGATTTTAAGATATTTGATTATAATGCACAGTAAAACCCATGATAAGAACTCTCCTATCAAATCGGAGTTGGAGGAAAGGGCTGTTTCATTCAGCGTGTTACTTTTTAAAACAAGAGCGGCTGGGGTTTGTGTATTTTTGCATCAACACTTTTCCAGAATTTATGTATAATTTAGTTAGTTACAGTGGTGCTTTTTTTTAAAACATCAGGGAACATGTGAGACGTGAGGTGAGAAAGGGCTGAAGGTTCCTCCCTCAGTGGCTCATCTAAAATACAGTATTTCTTTCGCTGGTTTCCAGAGGAGAACAAACAGGTGAGGGTAAACAATATGTGTGTAACAGGGTGGGGGAAGAGTTTAATCCCAGCCAAATCACTTAGACATCAGTGATGCCAAAATCACTCCTTCCCTCCACTCCCACGAGGAAAGGTCATGTGGTACAATGGTTAGTGTCTTGGCCTGGGAGTTGGTTTTTAAACCCCACAGAACTGCGAAGCTCCACGGACTGGGTTTTCCGCCTCCACTCTGATATCATAGAATCATAAAATGATAAGGTTGGGAAGGACTTAACAAGTGCCTCGAGTCCAACCCCCTGCTCAGTGCAGGAATATGAATCAAAGATGAACAGAGGGTGGTTCAGTTTTCTCTTGAAGGCCTCTGGAGGGGTTTGGAGCGCTTGCCACCTCTTGAGGTTGTTGGTTCCATCGCTGTACTGCTCTAACAGTTAGGGAGTTTTTCCTGTTATTCCACCAAAATCTGGCTTCCTGTCACTTGAGCCCATTGTGACGTATCCTGCACTCTGAGATGATGGAGAACAGATCCTGCCCCTCCTCTGTAGGATTACCTTTCAAGTGTTTGAAAAGGGCTCTCCTGTCTCCCCTCCCTCTTCTTTTCTCCAGGCAAAACCTGCCCATTTCTTCTAGTCTTTCCTCCCAGGGCTTGGGGTGCCCAGTCCCCTGATCATCATCCTTCTTGCCCTCCTCTGAACTTGCTCCAGATTGTTGGCATCCTTCTTAAAGTATGGTGTCCAGAACTGGACACAGGACTCAGGACGAGGCCTAACCAGTGCAAAATAGAAGGGGACTAGCACCTGACAGGATTGGGAGACTAGAATTCTGTTCCTGCAGCCTAAAATAGCTTTTGCCTTTTTTGTTAGCCACATCACCCTGTTGGCACGGATTCAGCTTCTAGTATCATAACATCATGGCTGAACTCTTTTTCCGTAAATAACCCTGCCTAAGGCTGATGATGTCATCAGCTGCGGCGATTTTTTTTCAGATGTAAAACATTTCCAGTTCCAGTGGATTTGAACACCCCTAAAGTGCCCTGGAATGTGTCCTGGTCATCAGCTGCAGTGATTTTTTTTTCAGATGTAAAACATTACCAATTCCAGTGGATTTGAACACCCCTAAAGCGCCCTGGAATGTGTCCTATGGCCCTTTCTTTGGTCATCAGCAGGTGGCGCTGTTGCTTCAGTGTGGGAGCAAGAGAGGCAAATAAATCATTATTCCCACCAGGGACTTAATGTTTCTCTTTAAGATGCCATAATAACTTCTGAATGTGTTGCCTCCAAGAAAGGAGAAAAAGAATGTATACAAAGAGGACTGGGAAATGTTACTGTTGGACAGGATTATGCTAATAAAAGCATTTTAAAATTAGACTGGGACAAATTTTGGCCTAAGGCTTACATATATTTTTGACAGCTGGAAAGCCCAGTATACAAGTTCTGTACCCACGATGGGGTAGCAGGCAAGGAGACCCCGGTTTTCTTCGTGTTTATGCAGGTCAGGATGATCTGATGGAGAGGGGTAAGAGGAAGAGGGGAATTTTCCTTCCCATGCACAGAATGGTGGCTTTGAAAGGGAGCCCTTGAGGTCAACTAGCCCAACCCCTTGTTGAAGGGGGAAGTCCACATCTCAAAGCATCCTTGATGGTGACCAGCCAACACCTCCGGCAAAGGTGAACTTACTGATCTAACAAGATGATCGTTCCTAGTGTTCTGTTGCAGGAGTGGGCCTATCCTGATCAGAGGCCTATGTGTGGGTTCATGTGAAGGAGCCAGCGCCCATCATTCCTTTGTCAAGAAATTCCCCACCACGTGGCCAGCTCCATTGGGCAGCTCAACGTCCCTGTGGTAGCCTTTCCATCTCTTCCAAGAACAGATCTTCAAACCCAAAGTCTCCCCAGAGAGAAAATATATCTCTTTTTTTGAGCCAGCCATTTCCAAGCACTGGCTGACGGGACTGGTTCTTTTTTCCAGGGCATGATCCATGGCAGTGGTTCTTAACCTTTTTTAATGGGGGGCATTATTGCCCACGTTAAGAACACTGATCCACAGCATGAATGATAAAGGAGGCCAAAGAGGGTAAGAAATGGTTCTGAATCCATCTTTGATTTGGGCAACCCACCCTTCTGACAGGCGCTGCTGCCTGGGGAGGTTCATGAGAACCATGATCTTTTAAAAGTCAGCAATTCCAGGCTCTGGGGAAAAGGTTCTTGAACTGCTTTAAAAAACAAAAAACAAAAACGAATCATTCAATTAATTAATTAAATAAATCAAACCCCCCCTTCCGGGCAGCCCAAACCCTCTCTCCTTTAGATTCTGTGTCTGTTTTATGATTGTTGTGTGCTGTGAAGTTGCCTCCGACTCATGGTGACCCCGTGAATGAGCCAAAAGGCCCTGTCTCCTTTAGATTCTGTGTCTGTTTTATGATTTTTGTGTGCTGTCAAGTTGCCTCCGACTCATGGCGACCCCGTGAATGAGCCAAAAGGTCCTCAACAGCCCTGCTCAGCTTTTGCAAACTCAGGCCTGTGCCTTCCTTTAAGAAGTCAGTCCGTCTTGTATTGGGTTTTCCTCTTTTCCTCCCGCCTTTCCCAGAGTTACGTTCTTTTCCAGAGAATCCTGTCCTCCCATGGTTTGATCGAAGTTTGATTGAAGCCTTGGCTTCAACGGAGTGTCTTTCGGTTCCCATTAGGATGATGCCTCAGAGCTGTAAGCGGAGCTGGAAAGGCCATCCTCCTGAGGGTCAAGCAGCTGCCAAAAAGCCCAGGAGCCCCAGTAGGTGAAAGGCGTCGCTGCCCGTGCTCCCCGGGGTTGCCGAAGGGGGGCTCCTGGGGCTTCCGGGTCCACCCTTGCCCACAGAGGGGCGGCGCTCTTATGCAACCCAACAGCTGGCTGGAGCATCCGTCCCTCGAGGAGACTAAGCTGTGAGTAATGAGAGAATCCGTGCCGCCCCCTAATCCCGGGATTTGCTTTTGTGTGCTTGTTCATAGGCTGAAGAGGCTGCAAAACTGGGGGTGGGTGGGTGACCATTAAGCCTTGCAAATAAGGTCCAGATCTACTAATCTGCCTCTCAGTAGCACAAAGGGGGCATCGCTCTTCCAAGTAGGCTTGCCGACCAGCACCAGTTTGGCATTCATAATCGAAATCCAAATTGTGTTCCAGGACCACAAACACACACAGAGAGAGAGAGACCAGCTTAACACTCTGAGGCCGGTGACTAGAGAGAGAGAGAGAGAGACCAGTTTAACACTCTGAGGCTGGTGACTGGTTTCCAGGCGGTTGTGTGCATGTGTGGAAACAGTGACTCCAGGTTTCATCTGAGCTCTCCGTGGTGCTGAAACTCGACCCCTCCACTCCCAAAGAGATATTTGGCACTCATAAACCCATCGTCCTGATCATGGAATTTAGATTTTGGGACTTTTTTTCCACTGCCTGGCTTTCACGTCCCTACCACAGTATGGATGATGTTCATGGGCTTGCTTTTCCCTTACACAGGAAACTGGTGTTTCTAGTTCCAACACAGAATTCCTTCCAGACCTCAACCACCACCACCATCATCCTCTTCCTCATCATAGAGCTGGAAGGAACCCATCTCCTTTCCATTTCTATTTTGTTGAACAGGTGGGGAACCTTGATGAACTTCTGTGTCTTTGTTGCCAAGACGACGGCGATGAAGCTCTTCCATTTGTTGCTGTTTGCCTGTCGGATCCTTCTAAGTAAACGCAGCTCTCTGAATTGAGCGGCTTGCGGGCGGCCCTGTCCTTAACAGCTCTGCTCAGATCTTGCCAATTCGTGGCAGTGGCTTCCTTTGCCGAGTCCAGCCATCTCACTTTCTCTTCTCCTCTTCTCCTACTGCTGGCCACTTTTCCTAGCTCTTTTGGCATTTTTCGCGTTTTCCCAGACATCTTGCAAATCTGACAGTCTCCACAGCTCTTTCCGGTCTTCCTAGGGCACCCCGTTTTCCCTTCTTCCCCTTCCATAGTCCTACCCCCTTGCTTCTTTCTTCCTCTCCCTTCGCCTTCCGCGGCCGCTGCTTTTCAAAGCCTTCAACATCTGGGAGAGTTAAAAGTCTTAACTGTTGCCTGCTGGCAAGCCGTTGGGCCAATCGGGGCCGGAGCTGCCCCCCTCGGCCACGCCCCGTCCCTTCCCTCCGGCTTGTTGATTGGCCAGCCTGGAAACTCCCAGGCCCTGGGAAACCTTTAAAAGGCGCGACGCGTCGGCCGCCGGGCGGGCAAACCGCGCGTCTGGCTTTTGTCCCTCCTGGCTGGGTACCCGAAGGCGGGGATTTCTTTTTTTGCTCCTGGTGGCCTTTTTCCCTCCAGTTTCCTCCTAGTTAGAGGCGATCCCATTGGGAAGCCGGCGATGCCCGCCCTCCCACTGCCGCCGGAGCCCTTTCCCCGCGCGATCCCGGCGTAAGGATGGCGCAAAGGAGCTCCTTGTTCATTCGCATCGTGGAAGGGAAAAACCTGCCCGCCAAAGACATGTAAGTTTGGGAACAGCTGGCAGGGAGCAGAGCCCCGAGGCTCTGGCCCCGATCCCTGCCCTCCCTTGAGTAAGAAGCGGATGACTGTCTCCGGTGCAGCGCGTGAGCGGTGCGCGGTTCCCTATTTTTTTGGGGGGGGCGGGGTTGGTTGGTTGGTTGGTTTCGGTGCGCGATCCTGCTTGCGTGCGAGGATCCCGCCCCCCCCCTTCGAAGGGATCCCTTGGGGCGATCCGGGGGTGTCTCCCGAGCCGGGGCTGGGGGTTCCCTGCCAAAGAAGGAAGGAAAGGAAGGAAACTCACGCGGCGAGGTGGATTTGGGTCGGATGCGCCTTTGCCGCCCCGCGCTCGCCTTCTTTGCTGGGGACCTTCGGGGCTTGCTCTCCTCTCTCTGGGGCGGGCAGGCGGGCGGGCATGCAGCCGACCCACCCTGCAGATTTGGGCGCAAGGGGGCCAATCCCCCCTCCTCCCTGTTTCCCCCTTCCAATTGATCAAGTTACAGAGATATTTTGGTGGTTGTTCGGTGCAAAGTCGCCTCCGACGCATGGCGACGCCAGGGATGAGCGACCTGCAAAATCTCTCCCCTCACCCCCTCCATTGCCCTGCCCAGCTCTGGCAACCTCAAACCTGTGGCTTCCTTTAGGGAGTTGATCCATCTGGTATCTGGCCTTCCTCTTTTCCTACTTCCTTCCACTCCTGCCTTCTCATGAGGTGCCCAAAGTAGGAGAGCCTCAGTTTTCAACGTTTTTGCGGAGATCCTTCAGGCTTGATTTGATTGAGGATCCACTTGTTTGTTTTAGCCAACCCGGGTATCCGCAAAGCTTTCCTCCAGCACCCCGTTTCAAATCAGTTCTTCTCCTTTCTTCACCGTCCACCTTTGGTAACCACCCACGCATAGTGACTGCGAATACAAGAGTGTGGATGGTCCTGGTCTCTAGTGGCACCTCCTGCCACTTGAGAATCGTTTAACATGCCTTTGTGGCTGCTTTTCCTAGTTTCCGTCTCCCTCTGATTTCTTGGCTGCCGTCTCCATGCGAAGCTGGACTGTCCGCTCTCTCCGGCCTGCCCCTGCTGTGGTTGCTGTCCAGACACACTGGCATGCCTCTGCCAGACGCCCACCTCTTTGAACAGATGGCTCTTATTTGTTCTGTCAGGTTGTGTGGCCTCCCAGCCTTCCCGTAGCCGCCTCTTTTTCTGACAGGAAAAAACTGTAAGTCAACTGCAGCTCTCAGAAAGCGAAGATCGCCTTTTCAATCGGAATTCCCCTGCACTAATTGACACGCACATCAGAAAAAAAAAGGCCCATGCGTGAAAACCAGAAGTGGATTTCTAGACACAACTTTGCCCATCCCGGTTTAGTGCAATATGAAATCATGGTCTTATTGAGGAAATGGGGGGGAGAGGAGAGATATTCCCTTCTTGGGTGTGTATGCAACACATATATTTTTGCCTGACTATCCAGTTGTGAACCCAGGCTGTGGCTTGTCTCCCCCCACCGCACCCCGGTCCCCAGATGTCCAGATCTGTTCCTAACAGGGCTTGCCGGATTTTAAATCACAATAAATTCTGCAAGGGACAATTTATTCTTCGCCTGCATCAGCAAAAACTGGCAGGGTTCCTTCCCCCTCTTTGAAAAATAGATTCAACATAGCTTTTGTTCAATGCCATGGAGCAAAAAAAGAGGACAGTTTAAAAAAAAAACCTTAATTGCAGCTTGATTTTTCAGTAAATTGCTACTCTGTGGTCACCTGGGATTAAAAGGCCAGCCTAGGCGTGATAAATGATAACCTCGTATTTTAGCTACATAAGAAGAGAAATATACACACACACACACACACACACACACA